ACAGCCTCACCTGAAGCCCTAAAGCTTTAACTGTGTTAGATGAGTACCTCAGGCACCATTTCTTGTTAACAAAGGAAAGCATCATGGTTTAAATCAAATCGAGGGTAAGATATGTGTTTTGCACTGTTACCTTCATTGCAGCAGGTATTTCAGTTACTCTGGAAGGGCCTACAGAATTAATTAGTTTGCATTTTGTTATTCAACAGAAAGGAACAGTTTTTATTGCTGTCCAGAACTGATTTTGGTCCTTGTAGCAATTGTATTTTCTTCTGTTCTACTCAAAAAATGTAGGACAGACAATAATAGTTTTTAATCTTCCTGCACATCTTGGAAACATTTTTTAAATTATTTTCTGCCAACCCACTTCTACTGAGAGCTTTCACATGGTTCGCAGCTAATGTAATCCTACATTTTAAAGAGGATGGATTACAGGGAATTATCCTCCTAGTTATATTGCAAGTGATGAAAGGAACCTTTTTATTTTCCCTGATGCAGTTCTATTTCACAACAGGAGCCTGGAAACAACTGTGCCTTTATGGTCAGTTTGTGTCTTTGGTCACACCACCATTTGACTAAGAGCAAGAGACAACTTTCAGGCCCCCTTATATTCTTCCCTGTTTCCCTTCATTTCAGAAGTAGTGAAAACTTTTTTTTCCCCATAAACCTGCATTGATGTTATCATGTGATTTACTTTCCCCTGCTGGATTTAATTTCTTTTTTGACTGTAAATTCATTCAGCCTGGCACTATAATATGCTGTGTTTATACAGAGATCAGATACAATGGGAACTCATTTTTAGCTGCTCCCATTTCACTTTGTTAACAAAAAATAAATAGCAGCAATTTGCAATTCCTGTCCTCTTCTATCTCCCTGTTATACATCAGAGGTAAGGGAAAAAGTCAGTTTCATTAGTTTGCTTTTCCTCCTTCTCCAACCCACACTCTTGGCATCAAGGAGAGGAATAAAGATGCCAAATAGTTCCTCTCCTTCCTAAACATCTATCAGCTTCAGGTAAATCACATGTGTAAATGTGGATTTCACTGCTTTGTGGAAATTTGTACTGTAAGGCACAGGTATTTGGTACCCTGTTCCATTTGCTGGCATGAAACAGTCTCTCAGTGTTAGGACCCTTACTAAACATGTAGCATATGCCATGGCCAATACATCTTTGGCCAAAAGGCAAAGTGGCACTCTTTTACGTGAAGTAGAACTAGTTGGTGAGAAGAATTTCTAAAGAAAGTTGCACAAATGTTTCCTTCTGATTCTTGCCCAAAGGGCAAGAGCAGTCTTCATGCTCTTTTTTTCATGAAAAAAGGGAGGAGTATTGGTACATGCAACCTCTGCTTTTCCTTGGTTTAAGAAGAGGCATTACCATATTTACTTTTGAGAAATATTTTTGTTTTGTTCTGCTTTCCTGACTTATTGCAAACACAGATTTTTCAGTGAAAATCAAAACACTGTCATATCGCTGTCTACATTCTGGTTTCTTCGGTCAAGGAAGGTGGAAAACACATCTTTGCTGAACCTTATATAAGAATATAAAAAAAAAAGAACTCAGCATCCAAGCCACATGAACAACATTTTTGGACAATATGTATTAGCTCAAGAAGCTGTTCCAGAGGTTGCACAAGTTTTGTAATCTACCCAACTTCACCATGAAACTATATATCCTAACGACATGCAAAGGCCCTGGCTGTGTAGTAAGAAGTAATGGATTTTTGCACTGAGAAACATGGGATATTACCCAACTAATACAGGATATTGCCTAACTTCTTTTATAGAAATTATGGTACCAAAGATGAAGAGACTAAGGAAGTAATTGAAGATTGGCCTTCCAAATTTGAAAAATTACACTCTTTTTTAAAATCTTTTACAAAGGTCATTACATGGTAATCTGAAGCTGTTTCACAACCATTGTGTCCAGTGTAATTAAAATAAAGCTGTATACACTTCAGCCCTAAAAAAACCCAGATTGCTGCTCCAGTCAATACTTAGTCTCAGATAGTCATCTCAGATCTCATCAAACTAAAAGCTGATTTTTTTTAGAACTGCTCAGTTCAGGTTTTAAAATAGAGTAGTAGAGTGCGTAATCTAGGCCAACCTGTTGTGTTGTTAATGTACCCACTTAAACCAAGCACTTCCATTTTCATATTACCTCTGATGTCCTTGTTTTCCTCTCACAAAGAGAAGAGAATCCCTTTCATTTCCCATGGAAATAATTTCTAGTTCCTTAGGAAGATGACCTGCTAGATTAATCACATTTGAAAAAGACCCAAACTCATGCACTTGGTGTGCAACATATTCCTAGGCAGGCACTGATGCACAAACAACTGCCAGCTTATTTTGTACAAAAGCATAAACTACAGCAGAATGCTTGGATGTAGCCAAAATAGGCATCAATTGCTGTTTGTGCTCAGTAACCAGCAAACTCAGTTCAGCTGATTAGAGCATAGTACTTGTAACACCAAGATTGTGGGATCAATCCCTAGGTGGGCCATTTACTTAAGAGCTGGACTGGATGATCCATGCGGGCCCCTTCCAAGACAGGATATTCTGTCAATCTGTGAAATCCAGTGGAAATCAAGGCAAAAATACATTCAGAATTTAATGATTTCCAACAACTGTATAAACCAATGCCAATGTCAAAAGGTAAGAAAATAAGATTTCCTGGTCCGTGATCAAAGCTATTGAGCTATTGTTTAAAAAAAAAAAAAAAAGACAAGGCTATGCCTGGAATGCAAACAGCAAATCTTCCATTCTGAAGTCCCAAGTGTGCTACCTAAACATTACAGTGGCCACAAGCACCCATTTTATTATTGCTCAAGTATAATATTTGACTTGGACAATTTCAGAGGGAATTAATATAACAGGTCTTTGTGCATATAGCAGAAGGAAATGCAGCTCATCTGTCAAAAAAACCTGCTCTGTACTTTCTTGCACCTTAAGGCAGAAGATGATGAACTGACCATCTTCTGCCATAAGAATTTATCTGTTTACAAAATGAAACAGTCACACTGTACTTAAAGGGTATTAGGGGTCAGACTTTTTTCTGCTAGAGAATTTCTGCATCAGTAATTATTTCTTGGAAGTTAGAGTTTAGTTGAAAGCTGCTTAGATGCAGGAAACAGAAAAACAGTGGCTTGCTCACCTCCAGGTGATGTTCTTCAACTGTGCCAGAACTCTGTTTGTGCAGCTGCTGTACTGCTTTTAAAGTAGGTGAAGAATGAAATCCCTTCATGACTTATTAAGTTTGTTATTTTGTATCTCTGGGTCAAGCATATTTTTCTCTGGATTGATCTGGAGTAGATAATTTTAGGTTTTCTGCAGATTATCAATAGACTGTTCCCACATACCACCAAGACTGTTTGCAAGTGATCTTTAATTAACAAAGAGACAGGAAATCCTAATAGATTCCCAAGAACAGCTCTCAGCACAGTTCATATGAGTATTTCTCAATCACCACATACTGGACCAGCCTTGAAGAAAAGCACTAAGCAGAGCTATTTCATATTGAATTGGCTGCTTCCTGCCTCAGGAGAACACTGCAGTATCCTGAAGGTCTTACTGCCCATATAAATCACATTGTATCTATTGTGCCAGGTAATCAGGATGCAGAAGTCATTGCCTTGTTTTCCCTTTGGTTGATGAGTCTTAGCCATTCAAACAATTTTGCACTTCCAAAACCTGCCTGGAATCAACCTGCAGAGGGGACCTACACATAGATGTGGTACTTAGGGACATGGTTTAGGGGAGGACTTTGGCAGTATTGGTTTATGACTGGACTTGTTGATCATAAAGGCCTTCTCCAACATAAGTGATTCTATGATCTGACTCAATTCAAACTGAAAACTCCAAAAGGCTAAGTTTATATATAGGAGGTTGTGATAGACCAGTGCAAAATAGCAAATACCAGAGACCAGAATCTGACCCACGAATCTTGAAGAAAGTATTTGAGCAACCCTAAAAACTAGATGGATGATGTAAGTCCAAAAGATTTTTACACTTATTTCTGCAGTAGGTCCTTCAATATTCTTTAATATCTTAACATTCTTTTCCATAAGACAGTTCTATTCCAGTAGCCAGGCACTCATGAACACTACAATAATAAATTTCCTAGCACTGAGCACAGTGAATAAAAGAAACAGTTTCAGACTCATGACGGATTATGATAGATAAATAAGGTAAAAATAAATTAAAGAACTCCATAAAACCTTGAGTTTCTTTAAAACAAATAGTGCACAACAAATGAAATAAAAGATAAAAGATACAAAACTGAAGTCACCAAACATCAGGGTTGGTATATTTTAAAAGTAGTCTTGCAGCCCAGGGGCTAAGGAATACTCGAAGCCATTCCTTGACAGATGTAAGCAATGGGACAGTGGGAAGTGAAAACAAACCACTGCTGGAGGGCAGGAGAAACAGAACCAAGCATTTTGTGTTGCCTATGACACAAACCCCACAAGGAGCTGAATTTTTTAAGACTGCATTATCACTTTGCTTTTATTTCAAAATCATGTATGTTTTCAGATCGTGGAGAACATACAGAGGGCTATCACATAATCTTCAATTTTCAAGTATGTAAAGCTGTTTCAAGAACAAATTGCTCTACACTTACTCCAAATCAACCTCAATTGTTATTACTCACCATAGAAATATTTCCAGTGGCTAGTTCTCCCCATCTATAGCTATTAGTCAAGGTGACATAGGAAGTGTTGAAATGGCAGATCTTGTTAGAACACTAATAAGAAAGAAGTTAATAATTCTGCAAGTTAACTTTACGACCAATTAATCATACAGTGTGATGAGTGCTGGAGGCATTCTATTCCAGATGCATATCCCAATTTACCTGCACTAAAGCACACCCCAGGAAGACAGCTTTGTGGTTGAAATATAAAGCATGCAGAGCTAAAAGGAAGTCGCTTTCAGGCTACCAAGAGTTCAGGCGATGAAATAAAATCTGTTGCATTTCACGGGTGTTATACAATGCAGAGCACTCTTACCTCCATGGGAAAGGCCTTAAAATTAACTGTGTGCTCAGAACCACGCTGGTTTTCTCTCCCCCAGTGAAACCGAACATCGTGCAGTTCAAACTCGTGTCCCCGAGGTAATGGCCCCCCTATTAACACTGGGAAAGAAGATAAGTGGTAAAGAACTTGCCTTTCAAAGCAGACAAGCCACTGAATATATTCTCCAAATACAACAAGGAGTCTGTGGCAATCTTCTATATTATTATATATAGAAGTGGTACCAGAGAGGAGAACAGTTAAGTTGACAGACTTGTCACCTTTACTTCTGAAGAACCTTGCAGGTACAGAACATGAATTGAGGCAGTTATGAAAAACAGTAAAACTGCTGTCATACTGAACTCTTTTGTTTTATGATGCAGAACTCCAAATAAAAGCATTGTACCTCTACCAGTCAGAAGAGGGAATGTTTATTTGTCTTATCAAGACATTAACTGTGTGCTCCAAACAGATGGCAGAGGTTCTGAATTGAACTGGGAAGTAACCTCCAAGTTGTCCAAATGTTTAATTTTCATCACCTATATTTACTATGGGTCACAAAAATGGACAGAAAAATTTAGATAGCAAATATTTTGCTGGGTAAAGGTGCTCACTCATATACCACCTGCCAGGCTTCTGAGATACTGAACGCCTCCACACCAAAATATAACCAAACCTACACACTGGAGCAAAACCAGCATACCTCATTTACTTAAAAACCGCTTCTAGGCAGCCATGGGTTTTTCTTAATTCAGTTTTTTAAACATCTGGAATTTCTTAAAAGCGTCTGTCCACAATCACAACACATGCACAAAAAAATGTATAGAGCTGCTCAGTACTTTGGCACTAATAGAGACTTCCACCAGAAGTAGTAAAAGCAAGCAATTGTGAGGCCCAACCTGCTATGGAATTAATCAATGGAAACATTTTGCCCAGGGATTTCTGAATCTGCTTGAGATCAAATATTACACCACAAGCTGGAGGTAACTTCCCACTAAAATCATTGAATATTGGCTTCTAGGCAGGGCTGAGTTTTCTTTAAGGGCATTCACAGTCTTCCCCAGAACCCATTAAATTCTAGCTTACATTTCATAGCCTTGAAATTAATCTTTTACAATCTCTGATAATTGATAAGGATTATTTAACTGCATGAAATATAGCCTTAGGGAATTAGTTCCATAATTTATAGCTATTTTGACACACAAACTATACCATCTGAGCTTGGAGCACAAGACTTGGTGTAATACTAAAACATAAGTTAGCAATTGAATCATATTACAATTGTACAAACACAAAACCAAAGGTATGAAACTGTAAAAAAATGAAAGAAAACAGATCAATTATGTTTTTCCCAAGCTGGAGGAAAAAAAAGTCAGATATTCCAGTTAATGCTCCTTTAATAATTCTTCACAACTTATCTAACAGCTATTTCTAAAATGAAATGTCCTAAATATAGGTAGAGATTCAGATTTGCTCCTTAACCTTGCTTTATCTATATTCTGTCTATAGCTATATCCCCTAGAGGGAAAATCTACAAATCCAGTGAATACTTGAGGAAACAACCAATTGAAGTATTTAAGAAATCTGGACAAACAAAAAGAATAATGATACTCAATTAGTGCTTAATTAGGACAATGCAATCATCATCATCTTCTCAATTAGGAAAATCAAATATTTTTTCTGTTTTAATACATTGCTCTGAGAAAAACTGTAACTAGAACAAATGTTCTCTATATTATCTGTATGTTCTCTATATTATCTGTAGTTCTGAATCTCCAGGAGCTTTGAAGAGTTTATTTCCAAGGCTTCAGTTAGGAGATGGATCCCATGATAAAACTATTTCATATTTGGTCATGGTCCTTCCACCTAACGCACAACACATATTCCACTATCAAAATGAAAGCAGCTGTGAAAATGTTTGCAGTTAAATAATGAGAAGGATTTGGGAACTCCATATGGACTGCGTGTCTTGAATTTAAGGATAAAAACATTCACAAGTACTGACAAATTTATTTTTAATATGTACCTTAATCAGTTTACTTTTTTCCATAAAGAACTTTTTCTTTGCTAACATTACATCAGATGAGGATCTCTTGAACATTAATTGGACAGAGTTTCAAAAGTATCCAGTGCTCAGTAGTTCTCAACAAAATAATTGGCCAAATGGATTTGTCATCAGAGATCTCCTGTGAGGAAAAGAAACTGCAGGAGTTTCTGCAATCCCTGAAAAATGGCCAGAATACTAGGTCAGGTTCAATCACAACTTATTAACGCTTTTCTCCTCTTGGTAGGTTTAATAAATGTTGTCCTCTCCCTCCCAAATTATTCCCAGTTTACAAAGGGAAAACGGCAAATTACGTAACATTAAATTTAAGAAAAAGCTGAAACTAAACCAAGAGTTTCTAAATCGTAAATCCACACTTCAGTCATAAACTTTTTCTCTATTTCACATTTTCTTATAATTCAAGACTCGTCTGTTTGGCATCACATTGCATTCAAGTATAAAAGAAGTCTTTCCTTTTTTCTAATTCTCCTAATGGTTTTGCAAAGGCATTCAGGTGTGTTGGTTCCATCTTATTAATCACCACTAAGTTAGAAACTGCCCTTGGGAAAGGTAGCATGGAAGGACTTGCATTTTGGCATATGAATTATGAGGTCACTTGTGGTCACTCTCATTTCCTCCACAGGAGAATTCAAGAATTCCTGATCCTTCAGGGACAACCTTATCCCTTGGGAAAAGAGCTCTGCTTCTGATGAAGACAGTAAAACTGACTGGAAGTAAAACATTTTTTTTGCAAATCTGCAAAATTCCATTGAAAGAAATGTTCTGTGCTGCAAAAATATATCAAAAATATCATAGAAATGAAATTATAAATCAAAGCATCATCATGAAGATGATGATTATTATTAACCCTTCCTTTTTAAAAAACTGTGTAAAACTGAACTGACTCCCTCACTTAGCACAGCTGCAGTTCCCAATACTACTGAGTTCTCAGAAGGAAACAGAAGTTGGAATGTCTCATGGTTTGACAATGTCCAGCTGTTTAAATGCCCCCAAAGGACTGTTACTAGCTAAGACTGGTTGGAATAACATGGAGGCTCTTCCAAAAACATGGCAAGAACTACTGCAGTGCTGGAAATCAAAGTTTACTTTTTTTCCTCCCTACTTTCTTGCCTCCTTCATTCAGAACAGCTTACCCAGACAAAAGGTCTGGATAAGATATTGCAACTTCACTTCTGTTGGAATTATTATTTTCTTCTAAATCAAATTTGATGAGTGACACCAAAAATGTCGTCCTTTAAGAAATGAGGACTGCCTTCTACTTGGTCCTCATCAATATTGTGAGTACATATGACTGGTGTATCTATCGTAAGCTGTCCAATTCTGTAGGTAGCATTCAGAATCCGCTCAAGCTAATGGGAGAAAGCACTATTAACTTACATGGTCTTTGAAACATGAGCAAATCTTGCCAGCTGTACAGAACAGTTTGGCACTACACTGTTTTAGCAATATTCTGAGTGCAGACAGCTGTTAATGCCAGCGGATTGGACACCACCACCACAAGAGGAAGTTTTGGGCATGCTTTGAGGCAATCTCACTGACCATTCAGCCTGGCATCAAAATCTGCAACTCCCATTGCAACACTTGCTCCTCTTCCTACCAAAGTCAACAGCAACACTCTCACCGGGCATAGTCCATGCGGAATGGGCACAACTGCTCCCAGCTGGGGAAGGCTGCTTTTCCTATGCTCCGGGACACGAGTGCAGTGACTCTTCAGGCAACACAAGCTTTAGCCGGGAAAATCAAGGCCATGTTTCAGCATACCTGATTTTGACTTCAGGGCAATCTGAATGGAATGCCCGTCGTTGATCACTTCGCAGTCACGACACACCACGTAGTTCGGCGACAAACGCACTTCCAGGAGCGAGGGGTCGTATTTAGCTTCTCTTGAGTTCAAGTTAATGGGCGACTGGTACTCCCCGTTAGCATCGGGGAAAATCAGCCCCCACTCCACTCCTAAGGCAGAAGGGAAAAGCGGTCAGGGGGACCCGGCGCGCCGCGCTGCGGGTCACACAGGCGCTGTCCCCGGCCGGGGAAGGGCTGCTCGGCCGGACCCCGCGGCTCCGCGCTGCCCTGCCGCCGGCGGGGATGGACGGGACGGCGCTTCCCCGCTCCCAGCGCCTCGGGACTGCCGGGGAGCGAACCCCGCCGTGCCCCGCCACTGAAATCCCCTCACCGCCTCCTCTTCCCCCGGCAGCGGACAAAGTTTCTCCCCGGCGGAGTCGCCGCCCGCTCCTCACCTTCCTCGTAGCCCCACTCGGGAGGCTCCTCCCGGCGCGGCAGGGGCTCGGCGCCCTCGATGAGGCTCCTGTCAGCCATGGGCGGGCGGCGCGGAGTGCGAGTGTGTGCGGGGCGAGCCGCGCTGGCGGCGCTCGGCTCCGCGCCCGGACCTCCCCCCGCCCTCCGCCCTCAGCCCTCCGCCCCCGCCCGCGGGCGGCGGCAGCGCCGGGGCCGGGCCGGGCCGGGCAGCGCCGGGAGCCGCTCGCTGTCCCGCGCACGGCGCACGCACGGAGAGCCCGCGGTGGGTGAGGCGGCGGCGGGCGTGCCCGGCGGGACGCTGCTCCTGAGCCTCCCTGCGCCCTCCTCGCCGCCCTCCGCAGGCCGCTCCCCTAGCCCGGCTGGGTGCGTGTCTCCACAGCTCCCGCTGCCCCTCCAGCCGGGCACAGGCGCGCTGTGCACCCGGGACACCCAGGGAGAGCGGCTTTAACAAGGCGAAGGGCAAAGCCCGGCGCTGGGGAGCAGCAATCCAGAACGGGGGACTACCGACCGGAATGCAGTTTGGCATTGGGTGCATGGGTCCCACCCACTGTGGGTCCTGGTGGGCATCAGGTCAGACACGAGCGAGCAGCGTGTCCTTGATGCAGAGAAGATGAACGATACCTTGGGCTGCATTAGGCAAAGCAATTCCGACAAGTCGAGGGAGGTGATCCTGCCCCTCTGCTCAGCACTGGTGAGGACACAGCTGGGGTGCTGGGTTCAGATCTGGGCTGCTCCAGTACAGAGAGACATGAACATACTGGAGAGAGTCCAACAAATGGTCATGACCATGGTCAAGGTGCTGGATCATCTCTGTTATAAGGAAAGGCTGAGAGAGCTGGGACTGTTCAGCTTAGAGAAGGGCAGGCTCAATGGGATCTCACGGATGTGTACAAATACCCAAAGGGAAAATGCAAAGAGGTTGGAGCCCGGCTCTTTTCAGTGGGGCCCGGTAACAAGACCAGTGGTGATGGGCACAAATTGAAACATGGGAGGGTTTTTTTGAACATCAGGAAACAATTTTTACTGTGAGAATGACTAAGCCCTGGCACAGGTTGCCCCAGGAGGTTGAGGAGTCTCCATCCATGAAGGAATTTATGTGAACAGAGTCCTTGTTGTGGGCAGCCCTGCTTGAGCAGGTGATTTGGACAAGATGATGCCCAGAAGTTCCTACCAACACCAGCCGTTCTGTGACTCTGTGTTTACTCCTCACTACTGAGCACTGTGTCCCTTCCGTGGAGGAATGGAAACCCTCAGTGAGGATAAGGAAGCCACTGATTAAGGAAGGGAGCCCACTTCTGCCCTTTCTGTCCTAAAGGAAGAAGTGTGGCATCAATTCCTACTGCAAATTATTGAAAGATTGAAGGTTTGAGGAAATTCTCTCCCCAAGATGAAGATGCCTCAGTTCAAGGTTATGAAAGGACTCTTCATTCTCCTTTGAAAACAGCCCTGTATGGAACTGGAGAATATTCATTCTGTCGGGGGAAAAAAGGACAGAAGGGACCTCTGTTATAGAGATCTCTTCTAGGCAGTGGCCCAAAAACTTGCATCAGTGACAGGAAGGGAAATGGGAATATAGCACTGGCAGTCTGCAATCCCTGACAGCAATCAGAAAACGTAACAGAGGCAGTCAAATAGCATTGCTAAAATGGTAAGAAGTCCCCTTTGCTTACCATCCTAGTCCACTTAAAATCAATGACCAGACCTCCCTGAATTCTGGTATCCCAAGGTGATAGCATCTTGATCCTGTGCTGTTGATCACAAGGTTTGATCTCAGTGTGGAGCTCATTGTGCTTCAGTGATCCCCAACTCAGCACCAGTACCTGTGATTCCTGTGCAGCACTGACAGGGGAGCAGAAATTATCATCAGTGTGAGATGAAAAAAGAAGGACTGAGATGAAACTTCATTAATGAAGCAAGAGAGTACTGATTCATGAGCTGCATGCAAGGTGAAAAGAAAATAGGGCAAAAGAAGTAGAGTTTACTGGGTTGGGTTTTTTCAAGAGCAGAGAAGAAACACAGATTTCCTTCTGCAGTATCATACTACCCAAATTACAACATGATGCAGTTTATTGAGGAAAAAAACCCAAACAGACATTTTTCATATATTGAGCACCTGACATCAGTACAAAGAGAGAACTCGGAAATTTTTAACATGCATTTTAGTCACATGAGGTATCATGTTGTATATGCGTACCCATCTCCCATAGCCAACTGGCTTTATTGAGTTGTTAAGTTTTATAATCTACTCACTTCTAAAACACACACCAGCTGCTTCTATTAATGTAGATTTCTTTGAATCATTGTTCAACCACATGGGGAAAAAACAAACATTACCCTAAATCATCATCTGTTCTGGTCCATCTGACTGGAAATTAATTTTCTTCTAAAAAGGAGTCTTATAGTTTGGAAATGAAACAAACAGTCCTAGGAGGCTGGTTTCATTCCCTTAGTCCTTGAAATACAGTATTTCATTCATTCATGCTCTCTATTAAGTCCTTTCCTGCAGTCACCTTCCTGTGGGATATCTGTTCTAGAATTTCATGCTTATGAGGGGCAACTTTATCAGACCTGTGAGTTCCTGTCTTGCAATAAATACTTTTCATGGCTCTGCCATATATCTGTTGCCCTTCCTTTTAACCTTTCAATTATTTCCAAATCCCTCTGCAAAATTAGGCATAGGAGGTATCTTTACTGAATAATTGACATTTCTTTATTCCCATATGTCTGCTGAGTAGTTTTTGTGCAAATATCCTGTTTCTTCCTTAGTATCTGCCAGGCATAGATTAGAGAATCAACAGATTAGATTCCACTGAAGATTCCTGGGACTTCTTTAATGGTGAGGTATCTAAGTAACAAAGGAGTTTTGCTTCTCCACAAGGAAATGGAGCATGGGACTGAGCCCTCACATTAAACTCCAATGAGAAATGTGGATATTGACCTTACAAAAAAGGATAAAGATGGATGTGGATATTGGCCTCTGCACAAACCATCTCATTTGTTTATGGACCCATCTTCAAAGAAAAGGGCTGAAACAATCAGATGGAGATAGTGGCATGAGCTAAGATTTGTCCAAGATCAGTGGAATTTGATCTCCTTGAATGATGTAAGCAAACGTAACATTGTTTAACTTTGTGTAGAAGCTCCCAATAATTGAATTTACAATGAAAAGATGTTAAATATATAACTGTAATACATATAAATCCACTCTTATTCTGTAAAAATGCGTTGCCCATGATGTTTGCTACATTTGCTAAACACACTGAAAAATCCATAGACAGGCATAGTTATGGCCCCCAAGCTAATATTAAATTGTTGAGCAAAAAGTAGGAGAAGCTCAGCCAACTTGAGCTTCATAAGTGACATAACACCTCATCAACAGAAGCAGGAGCAGGACATCTCTCTCCTGAATCCTGGCTCATCCTTTGATTCTGTGGAACATGCTGACTTCTTGTTTAACTGGGATTAATGATCACACCCTTTGATAGCACGAGGAATAAAAAGCTCAGGCACAGATCCAGGGCTTAATAGTTCCTCTTTGAACTCACACAACGGTAGTTCAGAAGCAGTGCAGTCTCTGACATTACTTTTGTCAAACAAGAAATGACATTTTGAAACATAGTATAATACTATATAATTAGTTAGTATAGTACTTAATCCTGGTGAGATCCCAAGCAACTATTCCTCTCTTTTCTATATCTAGATATGCTTTTTTGTTCTACATGATTTTTTTCTTTTTTCAAAAAATATATCTTCCCCAAACACCTTAAAAAGTATATACCGGGAAAACTGGGCCTGAACCAATATTCTCCATCCTAATGCTGAAAAATTTGTATGTGACAATTCTCATGAATGACTAGCAACATTTTTTTAAGAGGTTACATGTCCACAACTTTACTTACTGCTTTCACCACTCTGAAAAGAGAGAGTCCAGTGCAGAGAACTGTACAGGTTACTAAGAAATCTATAGGAAACAGAAAAGCAGAATTACATACAAGTTATTTTAGACTTTACATTCCTACCTGCATGACTCTTTGCAGCCACAGAACTGACAGTTATTTCCTTGGTGCAAGGGATGAGAAATTCAGACTCTGAGATGATCATATTTCCTGTATTATCCACTTTTTCCTTTATTACGTTGCTGACAACATGAAGTGGTAAGGGCATGAAGGATTTAATATTTTGATAAGGAGAGAATTGTTCTGTGGCATATTAGAACATTCCATTTAGGGTAATTTAGAGTCTATTTATGCTTCTGCTAGCCAGATCTCCGTTCTTGCCAAGGTTTCCTGAAAGAAAAGGCAATGTCCATACAGCAAGACAAGAAGCTGAAGGCACCTGGAGCATCTAGTTTTTCCAGTGAATAGGGCTTCCTATTTTTCTTCCTGTGTTGACTATGAGGTTGACCAGCAAATATCTCCCACGTGGTCTTGTTTCTATCTTTATTTCATGCCAGATTAAGCTTTAAAAGAAGTTTAATTCTTTTCCAAGTTTAGAAGTGTAAGCACAGAGTTTCTGCATTTGAACTTTAAAGCACAACCTTATATGTACCAATATTGAAAATCTCTGCACGTTTTAAAAGGAACTAGTTCATTAGAAGGAATAATATTCCAGTATTCCTGGAATTATAATGTTTGCCTATTTTTATTTTCTTCATCTGCAGTAATGCATTACAGAACGGAAAATTTGGTTGGGTAGTTCAAATAGTCCAAGATTAAAAGGTAAAGGGAGACCATTTCTAATAAAGGGGCCATTTATAGCAAAAATAAACCATTCACAGTGAAAGACACTGTATCTTTGCAAGTCAGGTTTACATTGGCAAATGCCATCCTGCAAACATTGCAAAAATATGTCAGCTGAATCCCAATTTCCCCTTACATCTAGACCAAGAGGTGGTTTCCATGGCCTTGTGTGTTTTTATGGTCTGTAAGTGTAAATTTGTCCTTCCTGGTTTTGCCAGCTAATAGGACAGCAGCCTGGCCCTAAATACACTTCACATGTTTCACTTTACAACATGCATGGTTTGGGTGGGGAATTTAAAGATCAACACACTGATCTGCAAGTGTGTACAGACATTTTCCTACAGTATAGTTATAAA